GTTTAAATGGTTTTATTTTAATAAAAGTTGGTGAATGTATTTATCTTACTGTAAATAACAAGTGAAAAAAGGTTCAGCCTTATCAGTTGGACATTCCGGTTTTTATATTGCTTTTTTTTAATTCACTAAAGCCCTAAAAATGAATATTTCAGCCGCAGTAAAGAATCAACGTTGGCGGATTTTGGTTCTTGACATCCTTTACGATGCTTAGAGTACGGAGACCTGTACGATTTCGTCAACTTAGTGAGTTTGATAGGGGCCGTATAGTGGGACTTCGGGAAGCTGGACTTTCTTTTCGGGCAATGCAGTTAGAGTGCAAAGAAGTGTAGACACTGTGGTTAGGTGTTGTCAGGCATGGCTTCGAGAAGGCCGTACGCAAAGAGCAAGGGGCACTGGACGCCGCCGTAGAATAACAAACCGTGAAGATCGCCGCCTAAGATTATTGGCCTTAAGGGACCGTTTATCTACTACCAGGTCCATTGCAAATGAATGGTTTGCAGAACACGGAAGACCTATTGGCATGCGAAGTGTTTACCGACGAATGAGAAGTTTTGGCTTGTTTTCATACCGGCCACACGGGGTCCTCCCTTTAACTCGAGAACACCGACGTAATCGCCTTGAGTGGTGCAGACAACGGTCACTCTGGGATCAGGAATCGAACAGTGTCTTTAGTAATGAGTCTCGATTTTGTTTAGGCATGCACGATGGTCGTGCCAGGGTTAGAAGGCGACGTGGTGAAAGGAGGAATCCACAGTTTTTTGTTGAAAGACATGTTCATCACACTGTTGGAGTTATGGTTTGGGGTGCTATAGCTTATGGTTCCAGGTCACCTTTAATCTTCATCAGAGGTAACATGAACGCGCAGCGTTATATCCACGAAGTTCTAGAACCCTATCTTTTACCCTATCTTGACACCCTGGCAGATCGAACTTTCCAACAAGATAATGCCCGACCACATGTTGCAAGAGTCACAATAGACTTCTTTCAACATAATGATGTCACATTGTTACCATGGCCACCAAGATCTTCCGACTTAGCCCCAATTGAGCACGTGTGGGATATGATGGGTAGGAGATTGCTCAATTTGCAACGACCTCCTCAGACTCTAGAAGCACTTCGAGAAGAGTTGGTGGTTGCCTGGAATGAGATACCACAGGAGGACATTGACCACCTCATCAGAAGCATGCCTAGGAGCGTTGGAGAATGCGTAGCACATCAGGGTGCATCCACACATTATTAAAGGTCAAAGGGCTTTAAAGCAGTGCAATCATTTTGAAATTTTTATCATTTACTTATTATGCTTCATTAAGTACTTATACAAAATTTTATTAAAATAAAACCATTTAAACTGGGTGTTCGGATTTATATGTCACTTAGTATAGATGTGAGCCACAATAGGCTAGTTATTGGAGGATCGCGATTGACCCACTCACAAAAAACCTAATCTAACATATTTAGAAAGAATGAGTATATCTTGCGAATTGGAACTGATCCAAATAATTAATAGACATATAATTGTATCTATTGGAAAAGGGAAATATTCCCATAAAATGTTCTACGCGGTTCTCTTATCATGTGTAATTTGACGAAGATTTGTCAACATAGTAACATGATGATGTCCATAGAAAACAGTTACCGCATTCAGATTGCCGTTGACGGATTAGTCCCAATACAATATTGCCAATTTAGTTTACACCCTATAGAATAATGGCATACAGATGACATTTTTGAATGAAGCTGATTTTTAGATTGAAAAAATGTTCTCCTATTTAGAATTTTTTGGAAAACATTCCTGTTTGAGCACAACTTTGGCACTAGATCTAGTATACTGGTTCCGCCGTTGAGAATCTAGTGATTCTGGTAACACATGCGTAATCAGGTAGCCGAAATCCCCACGGCATGTGTTTTCACATAATGAGTTTTAGGTATTTGTCTGACTGTTTGGGGATCGGTTGCAGAGTATAACGATAGGTTAGTACTGAAGCAAAACTGATTTTCTCAAGAACGACTTGTTTCATTGAAATCAAACAATGATGCGTTATTATATCGGTTGTAAGAAACAGCAATATTGCGTCAGAGCTAGCCCGTCTTTGACGAGTTAAGCGAATGAGTTGCTTTCCATGGACACCATCACATCCAAACCGTCAAAAGCTTAAAAACAGTTTCCAGTAGCCCCTTATGGGCTTTGCTCCTTCGAGCTCTCCGTCATGAAGCGCTAAGTCTGCTAGTCGGATCCGCCAGGCTTCTGTGTCTTATCCCAATCCTGTCTTATTTCGTACATCGAGAACTGGTCGATATGACCGCTCCTTCGTTACTAGGGTGGCGAGATTGTGAGCTAATCGACCTAGGAAGAATTTTCCCAGTTCTGCTAACCTTAGGCTGCTCAAAATCATTTTAACAAGGCATCTTCTGATAGCAGTATCGGGGTCGCGGTATTTATGTTTCTACCTACACGGCTGCGTCAGTATTAAAAAATTCTGCCTATATGGTAGCGTTCCATCTTCGGTCTGACTACAATGCCTAGAGCGCATTTACGCTGATTTGTTGCTCTAAAACCATTGATGCTATATTTTAACGTATATATAATAATAAAAAATTCCAAAATGAAGGATCAATGCAATCTTGTAATATTTTTTAAATGGGCTGGATGATCATGTCTGTGCAAATAATCTCCTTATGAGTAACCAGTAACCCCATAGAAAATAAAACCACTATCTTGCAAAATTTCCGACTGGCAGGCTTGCAAAGTTGAGCGTTTTTGTACGTTGAATCGCTTATGACCCAACAACTAATCATCATGTATGATGAGTATGTTATCAGTCTTCTTCTTTTGGAAGAGCCTATTTGAATGTGCAGTAAAGTGTGGAACATTCCATTCAAAGTTGGACAAATTTTGACTTTTGTTTATTGACCCTTCCATATTTTATTACATATTCGGATAGATCTTCAAAGAGAAAAATATTGATACATTACTTTGATGACTGGTTATTGAGTTATAAGCGACTCATTGTACAAAAATGCTTAATTTTGGTAGCCGACGGATCGCCATTTTGAATCACGGTAAAATCATATTCTAGTTTTATAAGGTACCTACTCGTAATGATCATCAAAGTGAGGTGTCAGCGAAGCTTCATAATATGTAATAAATGTTCCAATATGGTGCGCAGCAGCCTTCTTGAAACTGACACTTTTATACTAAAACATAGGATTCATGCTGTTACGTTCCAAAACCACGTAACCTTATTTTTACTATTTTGATAACTTACTAGTAATTTGAATTTCTCTTTACTAATGGAAGAGTGCCCATTCCTAGGACAAACCCTTTTCATTGATTTTCTTTTAGTAAATTTCATAGTTTATTGATTGTATAATTTCACACGTATTATATTTTTTTTTTCAGTGATTCAGTATTGTGTTAGAAAAAAAAATCTGTGGTTTTTCTCCCTTACTTTCTCCTGTTAAACGTATCTTCTTCAAGGCCACTCGTTGAACCTTCCTTTATAAGGTTAGGTGTTTCGTGTCAGTCACTTTCCTCCTAAGATTGTGGTGTGAACGCCATTTGCTTAATATCCAGAGTTTGGGATACAGTGTCGAACACTAGTTAGTGGAGTAGTACGCCTTCATACGTTTAGTTGTTTTGGTTTGGGTGCTACCCCTTCCATGTTCTTATGGGATTTTAATCTTTAACGTGGGGGACATTACGGAAAACCACCATACACTCCTCCAGCTTTGTTTGTAGCTGTTTTGCAGCCGATACTGCCGGAAGCCACCTCAACCCCCTTAGCAAAAAAAACCTGATGTAAACAAAAGCCAAGTAACGGAGAAAAACCACAGTTTTTTTCCAACACAATACTGAATCGCTGAGAAAGAAAGATGTAATACGTGTACGTGTGAAATTATACAATCAATAAACTATGAAATTTACCAAAAGAAAATCAATGAAAAGGGTTTGTCCTAGGAATGGGCACTCTACCATTAATAAAGAGAAATTCAAATTACTAGTAAGTGATCAAAATAGTAAAAAAAAGGTTACGTGATTTCGGCACGTGACAATGCAACAATTTCAATACCCCGAATTCCAGCTTTCTAACTTGATTTGTTCAAAAAACAAGTAAGGGTGGGAAAACTTTTTGAAATATACTACATAGGATTTCGTACTCTTTGGTATACACTCAATTAGGATGAGATTTATCGTAGCTAGTTATCGACTTGTAACCTCTCCAGGTTCCCTGCTTCGACGTAATTCTAGTTTCCTAGACTAACGATATCTTGAATTTGTTACGAATAACTACAAACCTGGAAGGAGGTCGTGATGGCGGATATCAAATCGTATACGTACTCCCAGGAGCCAGCATCTTCGGGTCGGAATGGGGTCAGCAGGAAGTTCAGACCTAATAACGGCACTAGCAGCAAAGTCGCCCTGAAACAAGTAACGAAACTTACTTGGAGAATCTCTATTATATCCCAATGAGGTCACGATACAAAGATTCACAGCTTAGCGGGTTTGTTTGGCCGAATCAAAACACATATGTAGGTTTTAATTTTACGTGAATTATTAAAGGAAAGAAACAATAGATGGAGCTTTCTGACATATTTTATGCATGTCCTATTATACTTATTATCATTTAATGGATCCTCCTCCCTCAGGGTTACTGGTGTAACCAGTATAATAGTAATGTACAAGCTACTAGTAGATTGTCTTTTGTTGCATTATTACTGTATCATAAAAACCTCTAGATCCAATAATGAGGATTACAAGTACTTTAACCCTTTCGTCCCTGAATTCAAATACCTTAGTCCAAATAATAAACAGTGTAAAATATTATTTTTAGGATGTCTTACAATGAGTTTTTATTAATATCTATTTTTTTCATTGGTCAGGTAACGGTGGAGGGGGTGGTGCATATATGTACCAGCAGGTATTTATGGTGGTACACATGCGTACCAACAGGTATGATCGGAAAATTCATAAAAACAGAAAAAAACAATGGTATAAGAATATTAATTTAGAAAAAAATACAAAAACAGCTTTGCAAAGAAGAAAATGAACCTAAATAACTATTTGGTATGATACAACATAAAACAGAACTTGCACAATGGAATATTGCACTACTCGCAAAGAGTTTTGTTCTTGTTTGTTTTTTCTCTTCAGAACATCTAGTAGATCTTCTTGTCTATCCCTCCACAGGAAGATGTAATGCTGATGCACCATATAATTTTCTTTTTCTTGAAGGGGCGCCTTGTTTTGGTAATGTCAGCTTGTATTTTGTATACCTTCAGATATTAATTCTTCTGCAAGTGTGGTGAGGAAAGAAATAAAAGAAATATTCTCATTTTTACGTCTCTTTTCAACTTTTTCCACCACTTTGCTGATTTTCGGTCATGATCATATAGCCCAATCAATGAATTGATCTGCCCGATCAACCCCTTGCATTTTTTTTCTGTAAAAAGATATGGCCTCTGGACATTGGATATTTTGTTGTTCACCGGTTTTGCTCTTTTTGATAATTGTTGTCAAATTGGGCTTATGACAGTTACTCATCAGCAAAACTTCCATTGTGTCCTGCCACTTTACATAAAGTAATCCCGAAGAAGTGCATCTGAATTGAGATTCCCCTTTTTGCAGCTTGTCTCCCATAGTTGGTACGTTCTTGCGATTGGACATGTAAGTTCCCAAGGCTGCATAGTCTAGTGTAAGTAACAAATTCACACTTGTAAAAAAATCAATCAAAACATAACACTACATTATTTTCTTTGACTGCAGACGCAAGGGCTGTTACGTCTCGCTCTCCCAGAGTTAGTGATTGATTTTTGGCGGGAATTGGGTCCTCTTTTCCAGAATATTCATTAACATCATACCTATAGCCCGCATCTGCATCGCAGCGAAGCCATAGTTTTATGCCCCTCTTGGTTGGTTTGAGGGGCATATATTGTTTCAAAGAAGATCGACCCTTGCATTTGGTCACAGATTCGTCAATACTTTGATACTGGCTATCCTGGCGACACTTTGAAAACGTGTATTTGAAGCAAGATAACAAATCTTCAATATAATGTTTTTGAAGCATTTGGGGGTTTCTGAGGAGAAGCAAAGTACATTTTTGAGCTCAAAGTCATGTATCGATCCCTTGAAAATTTTTTTTTAATTGTGCTATTTCCCATTGACTCCTTTTTACTCCAATAATTTTTCAGGCTTGGAAGGCGATTGTAGCACATAATGAACATGCAGCCAATTAACTTCTGTATTTGTCCTTTGTCAGTCATGTTCTCATTCCTCCTTTTTAATTGGTTTATGATTTTTAGGCGTTCATTTGTACAATTTGCAATGTGCAAATAAAGATATTGAGGAAATACTTTATGAAAAATCTGCATAGGTGTCAACTGCTAGTGATATCTGGAGCCAGCTTACATTCTCTTTCAGGAGGAAGGATTTTAGCAGGCTCAAATCTTTCATCAGGAATGACCCAGTCAAGAACATGGTTTCTACCAACAGTTACCAGTGGTGAAGGCGCAAAATGGATGTCTGAGTTAGACATATCGGACGTATCACTGCCTGCTTCTTCATCGGAATCTGGTTCATAATTGTCACTGAAGTCAGCAGAAAATGGTTCCGAATCTGAGATTTCCTCAATATCTTCAATAAGCGCTTCCAGCTCTTTTTGTGCAAGCGGATGGCGGCGATCCATATTGAACCTGAAACTGAATAAACGTAATTAGAGACCTGTTGGTATACATGTGTACCACCATAAATACCGGATGGTACATATATGTACCACATGAATATTACACGCAAAAACACAAAAATAAAACATAGTTTTGACCTACCTTGGTAAAAACACTAATTACAGTTGAATAGCAAATAGAACTTCATCAAAAAACTGCATAAATAAGCACTTTGAGTGTCCTAAATAACTAATTTTATTAGAGTAATACTGCCGCTACTACATACACGTGTTAACTAAATCGACATAATCACAAAATATCCAAATGCATGTTGTAGGTACACTGCGGAAGCCTGATACACCGGACTGGTACAGATTTATACCAAATAAAATGCTTCATTTCACAAGCAGGGATTTTTAAATTTGCCTGGTACATATGGGTACCGTTCGGGACGAAAGGGTTAAGGCAAATTATTATATTTTCAGTTTGTCTCTGTTCCGTTTTCTACTTACGCGCCGTCCTTTGCATTGTACATCTCGTCCGACTCTAGAATTCTAAAGGAGCCTCAAAATTTGCATAATTAGCATGGTTTTGTTTGTTAGAATTTGAGGGTTCTTGCCGATTACTGGCACTCCCTTGAAAAAATCCTGCGGTCGCTCACGATGTAGGAAAATACCTAATTCTAGCTCAGCGTGCTTATGTTTACCAGCAGCCAAAAAGTAATTGGAAAATTCCTTTTATTTACAACCAATAAATAAATGTTATGCGTGAATAATTTATATTTCCTATTTCCAGATGTTTATGAAACATTTTTATGCAATGGCAGAAATAAAATCCTTGAATCCAAAAACCAATCCAATCGGGGCGTAAAAAGCATTTATAACAAATTTCGCGGGATTTGAACCATGGTGCATCTCGCCCAAAACAAAGTCAACCAATACAACAGCTCGTCTTCATTTACGAGTGCCATTTTTGAAGTAAGAACCGATTGCGCATCGTGCCTGCGCATCCTGTCACGTGACTTCCGTTCAACCTCAGATACTCTTGACGAGTCTCTCAGTATGCCGCTATTACGTTTCACGCTTCTCTCGGTGTTGGTTGTGTGCTTCGTTTCTCGCCATGTGAATCAGTAATCCCGCTGACTGTGAAGTGCACCCAGCAATTCGGTTTTCAAATGAAATGGAAGTTCTTCCTGCTGAATTTCACCAGGAGCGTGCTATTTAGAACCGCCGGCGGAGCCTGCTCTCTAGCAGCGTCGTTCTGCTTCACGACAACGTTTGGCCTCACGTAACCGGATAATTTCCGTTGGCAATTACTGGATCATCCACCACACAACCCTGATCTATCAACATTCAGCTTCCAACTTTTTCAAAACTTAAGGAATTATTGTTCTTCGGAAAATGATGACATGTTGAATGAACTAGTTACTAACTGGTTTTATGGACAGGCGCCAGCATTCTTTGACGGAATTCGAAAGCTGGTGCAACGGCTTGAAAAATACTTAAAGGTTTATAGTGACTATGTTAAGAAATGAAAAATTGTGATATAATTTACATGCATAAATAAAGTTTCTCTGACTCCATTACAAAACGATTCTTACTTAAAAAATTACCCTCGTAGTCTCCGTATAACATTGAATAATGTGTTGTGTTCTCCACGCTTCCAATATGCCACTTATAAGTGATACAACTGAAACAGTATTAGTTCAAAAGTAGGAAGGAATATAAGAAACGTCTAATTCTCGGGTTCAGTCCCATAAATACAATGTGGAGATAGTAAATCCACCAAGCTTCATATCGCACGCAAATAAACTAGTATATTACGTACCTAGGTACATAATTGGTCCATAATAAACGAATACTTTATGTTTATAACCACGAATCCGACCATAGTAATTGCTCTAACGTTGACTTTGTACGTTCACGTATAGAGTAATTATTTGAACGATCTATAGAAGGCTTTAAGGTTGGGTATATAAAGAGATCCAAATTTAGCCACAGTGCATTTCATCTCATCATCCAGTCGAATAGTCCTATTCACATGTCTTTACGACTCTTTTATTAGTGGATTCTATCGAACACGTTCGTGCGAGCTAACAGAAAGCTAGATAGTCATAGACGCCACAAACAGGGAAATTGCAATACCGACATATTGATTTTGAATTCAATACTAGTTAAATACAATCGTCCATTTTCTTATAATACAATTTCAACGCAACTCTTGCATGCAATGCAGAATATTTTATTAAGATGATATGTTACATTCTATAAAGTCATTATAATGTAAGCAATATAGCTAGATATCAATACTGCATGGCTATAATTTGTATTCAGGATCAGTTCAACAATATTAATGTCTCTACAGAAAAAAATGTTAAATAAGGCTTTTTTGTAAAAGATTCTTCGACTAGTTGCGACATTATTTTTTTGTGTTGTTCCTGACTGCTTCGGCTCAGCCCTTGTAACATCTAGGACCGTCCACTACAATACAGATTTCTTATTTGCTTTGATAATGGAAACGAATGTCACTTTCGGCATTGGGGGGGTAGAACATTCGACCTAGCGGTGCGTGGCAACCAGGAGACCAGACAGGAGGGGAGAGCAGTGGCAGCTGTCGCCAGTTATTCTATCAGGATGTCACCATAAAAAATGCCAACACAAACGTAGGGCAGCCTGGCAACGTTGCGTTGTGGCATCATCACGGATAGGCGTATTCAGAGAACAGTAGGCAAGCCATTCAATTTATGGAAGCATTTGGTACTTGTGCTGCCACCATGCGGATTCAGTTTTCAAGATGTGTTAATAACACTGGTCAACAAAATTAAAATCATTTTTTTTGACATGGACAAAACAAGGTGGTTCTTATGTAAAACGTACCCAAAAAGCCGGAAATAGCATTTGATTTTTTCTATCACCCACGGTTTTCTTGCAATAAGGCATTTTATTTGCTGCTTATACTCGTAAAATATAAGGATATGGGTGTAAGAGTACTAATAAACACTCGAATAAACATTAATCTCAAAATATCGTTGTCGATGTTTTACGGCGGTATGTTGCTCCTGAAGTATCTCTTAACAATGTCCAGCAATAATCAGCAAGCAAATTGACACTCCATTTGCCGTGATACCGCAGAAATGTCTTGGTGGACCCGTTCACCATGTTCATCACTTACCGCACCTAAATTTTCCGGAAAAAAATCGAGATGAGAATCCAAAAAGTGATTTTTTAGATACATGTTACATCCCATTCCTTTATAAGCATTAATTAGTTCACTCCCAATATCTTTATAATTGTCCGCAGTAACTGCAGTAACTGATTTAAAAGCATTCCAAGTTCGTAATTCAGTGTCATTTAGAGCACTGTCAAATACATCATCCTTCATGATTTTCCATACTTGTGGACCCATAAACATGCCCTCTTTAATTTTTTACTCACTAAGTCTCGGAAATGTTTGTTTTAAATGCAGAAACCCTCTTCCATTTCGATCCATAGCTTTCACAAAATATTTCCTCCGTCCCAACTCAATATGCAAAGGTGGAAGAAACACGTTTTCGGGATCAACTAGTGGTTCATGAGCAATGTTTTTGAGGCCCGGAGTTAATACTTGACGTAGTAGCTACGTTCATAATGACGATCTCGCGCACCTCTGTCCCATTCACAAAGAAAACAACAATATGTGGTATATTCCAGTTGCATTCCAAGAAGAATGGCTATTACCTTTAAATCTGCATATATGGCCCATCCATATTCATTATAACGGATATGCTCTAACAGAACTCGCATATTTTCGATTCCTTCATATGAACTGCGTGCGCTATAGGTACAGATGAATATTTATAAACGGTGTGTACCAATACAGCTTTTAAACTAAGTTCATAGGAATCAATGAACAGGCGCCAATCATTTGGATCATGTTTCTGTCCTAACGCGTCAAACAAATTGTGCGTGTGAGGTCTGTTGCCGTTTTCGGTAAAAGGTAATGTTAACATCACGGTGGAGAAGATTCCATCCTTTTAATCTTGAGGCTAAAAGATTTTAACATATTTAATTCTCGAACTAAGTCATTAAGTTCGTCCTGTGTGATCAAATGCCGCGCTGTCGAACATCCTGGCAGGTCAAACGAAGGATCGGAAATTTTTACGCTATCTGTACCATCACTTTCAGAATCGGTGGATTCGACTTTTCCATCCAAAGACCAAGATTCTGGTGGAACTGGGTCAGAAAGTTCATCACTATGCTTAACGAGTCGCAAAGCTGATGGTGAATTAAAATACTTAACAGTATGTTTTGATTTTGGTCCAATACCTTTAATACTTGTTAGGCAAAAATAGCGATCAGTAGTATGGTCTCTGGGTTCTCTCCAAACCATTGGTACCGCCAAGGGCATTTTATGATTGTCGCCTCTTAACCAACCTGTTAATAACGTTACACAAGTCTTACAACATATATGAGGGGCCCATAGTTAATCTTGGTCGCCAACTTTAATTCCAAAATAAAGTTCGTATTCTTTCAACACAAGGCGAGTAAAAGTACGTTTTTGATATTTAAAAGTTAGCTCTCCGCACACATAACAAAAACTGTTCGCACTATTTACACAATTTTTAGGCATTGTCCAATAAAGCTAGTCTAGATCAGAATAAACTAAAAACAACACATCGTTTTAACAAAAATTAACACTAGGTACTCATAACATCGCAGTACTTTTCAACACAGAAAACGTAACTGACTCGGCTGCTATAAGTCTACTAATAAACGCAATATGCTCTCTAAACATAGAGCTCGCATATAATAAACAGGAATATACAGGTCTTAACATTATACGAGTATATATGTGCGTCATCGCATAAACGCCGAGAAATGCAGCAATATGAGATGTTACGTACTGTAATTCATAAAAGTAGATGTTACCGAATATCTGTGGGTGATAGAAAAATTCTGTTTTTAGATTGGATTTAAGGGTCTCAAAATACATAAGATACAACAAAAAATTGTCATGTTTCAAATCCTGTGTTTATCAGTGTAAT